CGCCAATTTCTGGTGTCCCCCGTCGTGATATTAATGGAATATTACCAAAAGCGGTGTTAATTAAACTCTCCCACTTCAAAACCAAGTGTGAAGGTATAGCATGTTCAAAAATCTCGTTTACACCCTTCAGTGTTACATGACAGCCAGATTTGTTGAACGGGAACTGAAGTGAGTTTATGAAAAGGTGCATCTATATTGACTTTCAGGATATTGGAGTCATGTAAGGATATATAGATCATTTACGTTTTATCGATTTTCATGGTAGTGGTAAGGGTATCCTGTATATGATCATACAGTTATGTGTGAAAACGCCAATTGGTTCAAGACCATTCATTAAGATCAAACCATAAAAGTGTGAAATAAACAAACACACCTGAAAGTGCTATGAACTTCAGAGTGTCGTAACCCTCGCTGTCTTCCTGTTTTTCATACACAGTTAAGTTGTACTGAGTGACACCAGGTCGGGGTTGTGGAGGATCCCATGTCAGAGTTATCTCGCTTGATGACCTGCTCTGTGCCTTGAAGTTCGTAGTGTTACCAGCGCCTGAAATGCAGACCATATGTAGTTACATGTACTCTAGTATTCAGCAAGTTAACAATATCTTGAAAACCGTAGTTCCTTCCATATTCTGGCATGCAAGGGAATATTTTGGGACATTAGAGACAATGTGAGTGTGAAAATGTGTTCGAGATGACTAATGATATTATCAGGGCATCCTGCAGGTCCAGTTAACATATCCCTTGGGTTCAACATCATACCACGAAGGAAATACCGAGGAAAACTACAATACAAATATTTCCTTAAAATTATTGTAACGCAAGCAGGACACTTCATCACATAAAATGAACCCCACTTGTACTTAAGCTACAAGTTTTTAGGAATCATTTTGGATTTTTATCGTAAATTATCCATATATTTACTAAAACGAAAATTCTGAAACCAGATAGGCATCTTTACAATGCAAATGGAAATTTTAGTTTTTAATATAAAACATATGTTGAGCTTTAGGAAAGTAATATCTTTTCAAGCCGACAACGCCAGAGAAAAATCACTATCGAACATCGATAAAGCATGAATAGCAAGGTCAGCTACAAGAAAGTTGAAAAGCAGAGTCTGTCTCACCTCACATGGATGATGATGTCCCCATTCATTCATAACCAATATCCAAGTCTTAAATCTATTGCTCACCTAGAATATATGTATATATAAGTCTATAAGTGTAATTTTTACGTTTACACAAGTTACTTACTTCGGTAAAGTATGTAGCTGTGTAACTAGTTAACGTTATAATAGTTCAGGGGAAAAGGTACTTTATTACACTATAGGTGGGGCTAGAGCGAACTCTAAGTCTTTTTCAGTTCAGGACTAACTGACGGGCTCTTCCGGTGACGTGTCTGCACCCCTACATTAAGATGTACATTGCCGTGAAAACAAATGATAAACAGTTTGAAGACGGTTTACGTTCGAGCTAAATATCTTCACAGTGTAATGTTGGTTACGTCTGTGTTTATCGTAAACCATATGGTGCAGTGTGAACGTCGCATTGCTACTACCAACGTAAGTTTAGAACAGTAAATCCTGATCCTGACTAGTCCACGACGTTCCACGTGAAAAACCTCATTTGGTTTTTAAATAACATTTAGCGGTCTTAAATCAACGATAAAGGATCGCAAAAGTGAAAACAGAATAGCTTTATCTTCATTCTAGCACGACTGATCAGCATTTTAAAACCGACTCCTTGCCGACAAGGCATGAAAGGGCCTTTTTCCTGGAAATTGCTTGGAACCTCCAGTTGAAGGACAGGTTGTGTAATGAACAAAATAACACATTTTCAACAACATAAATGCTTATTCCAGGAACCACTATGCTTGAATTTGTAACAAATAGCATAAATAGATTACCAAAAGATACAGTTTGTACTGTGAACAAGAACAATTTTGATTTTTTTTCTCAAGCGAACTATTAATCTTCCCTACTGTAGGACAATCTACTCGCCCCCACTTCAAGCGGTGAATTCGATAAGTTTAGACGCCGCGAACTTTATTCACGTAAGTAATTATTAGTAACCACGCTGCTATTCCTAATTTGGAAAAGCCCTTACCTGATCAAGGCCCGGTTTGAATTATGGCGGAATACTGTCGCTTTTGCGCTGCTGACGAATTTTCCCGCTTCGAAGTTTATTCAATTGGATTAGGCTCAAGAAATTCTTCTTCAAGCCATTCGCTTTTTACTTCAAAAAACATCAAAGATGCTGCCAAAGTAGAAATCGCCGATGTCCGACATGTTTGTTTACATACAAAAGGGTCAACGAGTTCATTGTATGCCTACGCAGTCAGTCGGTCGCTTTAATGTATTCATTAAACTGCCATTTATATACGGTTTTAATGAGCTCTCAGCCAATCATAATAGAGTATCAACCATTGTACAGATTTGTTTAAAATCTTTGATTGTATGATATCACCCATTCTCTGTTATGGGTCTGAAATCTGGGGCACATCCTACTGTAATACTATTGAATCTGTCCATATTAAATTCTGTAAATATGTCTTGAAACTTGGAAAATCCACCTGTAACAATATGTTCATGGGTGAATGTGGAAGAGTGCCTTTACAGTTTACTTATACAACCAATGCAGTGAAATACTGGTGCAGACTTCTAAACATGCCTGACTATAGATTACCAAAACAATGTTATTTTATGCTATTATCTTTAGACAGGGTAGGACGAAATTCATGGGCAACTAGAATTAAAAATATTCTTTTTCAACTTGGTTTTGGATTTGTTTGGATAAGTCAGGAAATTGGTGATCACAAAATATTTATGGAATCATTTAAACAGAGACTACATGATAATTTATTTCAATCTTGGCATTCATCTTTGGACAGTAACTGTAAATGTCTTTACTATAAGCAATTCAAATCTTTGTTAAATGTTGAGAGCTACTTCATAAATAATGATATCCCTCAATATTTAAAAACTATATATGCCCGATTTCGGTGCTGTAATTTTAAACTAGCAGTTGAAACGGGCAGATACACTGATAGTGCATATAATGAAAGGCATTGCCTGTTTTGTAAATTAAATGGTATCTTCGTTGTTGAAGATGAATGGCATGTGTTCTATATCTGTGATGCATATTCTCATATCAGAAATAAGTACATATCAAAATATTTTAGTAAATGTCCATCAATTATTAATTTTATATCAATATTACAGAGTAAAAAAATGTTAATATTATCAAGGATGTATGTCTATTTTATACTTTGTTGACAAGAAACACAAATCTAAATGAAATATATATTCAAACTGGATGGCTTAGTTCGACGCGTATGTTCAGTGAGTCGTGTTGCTCGTCCAGATATGACTATCCGAAGACCGCTCAAAGAATCCTGGCATCTCGTTTGACTGTCGGCAGTAAATGCCGAGATTCATGTTGTCGGTTGGATCATGGCCTGTATATCGGCATGGGTGACGCATGTTTAAAAAGATATCACAGCAGCCCACGTAGATATATGGTTTACAGTTTACAAAGGCGGCCGTTGTGCAGTTACCATTGATATTCAAATAATTTTCGCGTAGTAATTAGGACAAAAGTTTGAAGGCAGAAACAAATCTGATATAATGCATTGTTTGAAAATGTCACAATACACACCAGACGAATTTGCGTTACACAATTTGCTTGTGTACGGGAGCACAATTTTTATGTCATATTTCTTGACCAGTTTTAACAACCAGAGTATACTTCTCGAAAGCTGATGGAGATAGCTAATGAACAACGACAGACGATAGAACAAGGAGTGTTAACATGAGGATTCGAATTCTGTTGAGTCATTAATTTCCTGCAGGCTGAGCAATTTCTTGAACCCGAGGGAGAGGACCAAACGTATTAAAAGCCCTTACATTTATCTATGATAACAAAATAAGAGGCCTAAATTTGGAAACATTTTGTTTATTAAACAGAAGAAAAAAAATTATGAGGTTTCCCGCGCATCTGTTAGGGGAGATAACTTCTGTGGATAGCGGTTGGAGGACCACCTGGATTCCGAAATAGGTTTTAGGAAAAAGGCAATCAAGTGAAGGATTTATTCGTAAGAAGTTTGTGTTTGAACAATAGTTACTTTTCCAGAATGAATTACTGTCAGATGTAACGAGTGGTGTTGGCGTTGTTCTATTTAGATGTCTTACGGTTTATGTGTAATCGGGAATCTTCCAGAACAGCATCCAATCTAACTACTTTAGACAATATATAAATTTCTGGAGTGAGTGAGTATGGTTTAACGCCACTTTGAGTAATATTCCAGCAATATCAAGGCGGGGGACACCAGAAATGTGCTTCACACATTGCACCCATGTGGGGAAACAAACCCGGGTCTTCGGCGTGACGAGCGAACGCTTTAACCACTAAGCTACCCCACCGCCCCCTAATTTTCTGGAAGATGTTTGAGGCTATACAATGGGGTAAGCACACGCCGCTGTCATCTCATGTGCAGTGAAAACCAGCGCGCGGTTGTCTACATATCACCTTTTTCAGCCTCGACATCAAGACCTGTTTCGGAAGCTTGACCACTGTTGTGGCTAGATTAATTTTACCATCATATCATATATTATTTCGCTGTTGCCTTTGTGCAATCAACGTTTGTTTTCTGCGTGGCTGCATGGGGAAGAATTAATGTGATTGATGAAAACCAACACATGAAATTTTAGATTAATTGGTACATTTTGTCTCAGGAATACATACTTACTGATGACGTCGACACAGGACAGAGGACAAACGACAACCAGGTAATAGTATATGCTCACTTGACTTACATTTCAGGGGCGATCTTACACCTTACGACCTGATATTGTTTTTATGGCCATGTTGGAAATTGTGATGATGCACCAGTCTCACTCGGCTCGGGTTCTTCATTATTTAAAGTTTCATAGACTGAAACTTCCTTATGAACATATTAATCACATTCATAATAAATATAGTGATATGCATCGTGTCTCAACTCACCTCGAAGAGATACTTGAATTCTGTAGTTACGTCCACCTTCACATTCCACATGCAGTCGCCGTTATTGGTGAAGTTCTCATTCTTGCTTATAGGATTATATGTCGACTGTTGCTGGTGAACAAATATAACGACAGGTGGAAGCAGATAATAACACTCGAACAAGCTTACACTAGCATATATGATAAATTAGTGGTACGTAATAGTATCCCTGAAGAATTAATGAAGACGTTTTAACGTGCCCTAGTCAATCATAACACATGTGATCAGCAATGGGCAGTGACTGTCGCAGATAGGATTATGCACAGTGTGATAAAACGTCACTAAAACAGCTTATAACTTCACTGACTGCAACGTTAGTACATTTTGACCCTCTTACTAATACGGCTAAGTCAGATGAAAACTGAGCGAGTGAGTGAGTTTAGTTTTAAGCCGCTTTTAACAATATTGCAGCAATATCACGGTGGGGAACATCAGAGATGGGCTTCATACAGATGAACATAAAGATGAAAAATAATTCCATATTGAAGGTTTAATATTACTGAGTCACTAAATATCCTCGCGTACGGTGTTTTCGAGCCCCTAAGACAAACAATGACAATCATGAGAAATGTTTTGGGATATATCAATAATAGTTATCTTACTTTGAATTACATTTCTTGTGCTGTTAAATTTGTTAGCTAAGGAGATGCGTCGTTTGTTTGCAGCAGAACATACCTCGGAGTTTGAAGTGACCTAGTTGATCGCCATGTTTTTGTTATTATTTCACTGTTAGTTCTGGCAAATTGTCGTCTCACTGCCGTAAGCGTACATGTATTGTTATGACACGATGTGTAATGGGAACTAGGCATTAACTAGTAAAACTTATGTACAGTTGTCACTTCAGTCGACAAACAGGCTCTATTCCTCTGAATTTTCCGAATGACACGGACACCAGAATTCAGCTGTTGATCTCACAACGCGCACCTGGGTACAGTATTTGAGATGTACCCAGTGATCACAACTCGGGTGCGTACACTGAGCCCACTTTGTGAATACAAGCGAGACACAATTTTGCAGTTGTTTCGGTTGAAACAATTTGCAAACACAACACACTTCATTATCACCCTCATTGTCCGTGCCTGTACCGCTGTCAAATGCGACAACCTCTCGTACATGAGACAATCCAGACGTGCTTGGTTTGGAAGAGAGAGTTGAACGAACTTGTGATACTTTTTTCTTCTGTGCAGACTGTTGCTTCCTCTTCTTGACTGGCTGTTTCTGAGTGTGTTCTTGAATTTTGAACACTGTATTTTCTTCTGTGATGGCTTAACCACTGACGATAGAGCTGAGGACTTTCCGCTTCAGTGTTGGTGCAGACTTGATTTTGTGCAGAGCGTCTTCCTTCTGTCTAAAAAGTGAGTCGTCGGCTTCGCGGTTTTCCTCGGATGTAAGAAAAACTGTAGAAGGTCTCAAGGCTTCCGCAGACACGACGGAATCGTCAAATGGAAATATTCCACATTTCTCAAACGAGGACATCAAGTTTCTTGGAGAAAGAGCCGACGTGTATGCTTTACAAGCAACAGCACACATAGCGTTATTATCTATGTTGGTGGTGACTTGTTCTCTCATTTACGTGTGCTTCATGGAATTGTAGATCCTTTCTAGTGGCCCGAAACAACCAACGTCAAGTGGTTGTAAAACATGAGAAGTGTGAGCTGGCAGTACCATCAAGACAATGTTCCGAGATATGGCCCAGTCAATGATGGGGAGAGAAACATGAGAGCGGTGCCCGTCGTAAAGGAGAATCGGCTGTGATGGATCTGACCTCTGGGCGTATTTCAGGAAGTGATCATTCAAATAAATATTTCCATATTTGACCACCCTGAATCACTAGTTGTGGCATTTGTACCTGGGGTACATTCAGATAGAATATCCAAACGCAGACGCTGTCCCTTAAATACGAAGTAAGGAGGGATTTGTTGTCCGAGAGCGTTCCCACAACCAATTAAAGTTTTTGTTGATGATCTTGGTGTAGTAACCGCGACACATCGATACTCAGAAGAATATACCACTTTAGGAGGAGTATGGTTCTCAATCAACCCTTTTTCGTCAACATTATAGATGAATTGCCGCTTGTCGAATAAATCGTACTTCTCTAGCACGGCCAGAAGTTCGACGAAATATTTGGAAACTGCTTCCTGCGACGTCGCCTTTGCTCTGAAAACTTCGAGAGGGCGTGGCTTGTCCAGCTTGAGAGAAGGCCATCGCTTCATAAATCCATAATACCAATGGAGAGAAAAGGGATTATCTTTATTTCGTTTTCCCAGTTGAACAGCATACTGAGATGCCAGTGTAGTGACCTCCACCCTGGTGTATCCGTACCCCACGGTAAAAATAAAAAAGCCACATGATGTAAGTCATGTGATCCTGGCCGGAAGTTTACATTCTCCAGACGGCATAACTTCGAAGTGATGTGAAAAGGTTTTCAGTGCAAGAAATGAAGCTTTAAACTTTAAAAAAAATATGCAGTAGGCAAAATAGTGACCTTTTGTCATGAGTTTACGTTTTTTTATCTAACTTACCACCTGCAGCATCACACGCCACATGATTACGTCCTAGACAAGCTGACAACTTGTAACCTGCGTTCCGCTTTGAAGTGGCTACCTGGATGACGTCATCAAATAAATCCGCACGTGTATATTGGCGGCTCGAAATGAGATGACGCTCGAAAAGAGGTAACGAGGGGATACATTACTTCTGTATGTATAAGTGTTCACGGAATAAATGTGTTCACAGATTAAAAACAACAATCCAAAACTCAAAAGTCAGTAAGGAAAGTGTCACATTCAGGGAGAAGTTAATATTTTTTATTTAACTTTGAATAATTCCACTTTCCCTGCATGTCGCTCTGAAACAATTCACTGATCGTAGTTAGAAACAGTGAAGAGTGCAGCCATAGCTTCGTATAACGAGAGATTGCTCAAATAATTCAACTTACGTTTGTGAAATAATGCAGACTGGCATTAACAATCACTCCATTTCTACCATCCTTCTGTTTAGGACACTTCCACGACACTTGTACCTGGTTAAACACACCAGTGATGTCCTCGACTTTCAATTCCAACACACCCGTCGGCTCTGGGAATATAATGAGAACGGCTTGAAGACTATTGAAGAAATTGAATAGAAGCAAAAGAGTTACTAAGCAACATGTGTCATATCTGTAACGTGTATCCACAATTGACCATACTCTTGTCATTGACATATAGAAACAATATATACATACATACATACACACACGTGTGTGTGTGTTTGTTTGTTTTGGGTTTTTTGTTTGTTGTTGTTTGTGTGTGTGTGTGTGTGTGTGTGTGTGTGTGTGTGTGTGTGTGTGTGTGTGTGTGTGTGTGTGTGTGTGTGTGTGTGTGTGTGTGTGTGATCCTGTAAATATTGTGAAATAATAATAATGTTAGTCTTTGTACCTGATTCCATCGTCCTTCCAGGGCTGCTGCTGACAATGGCTGAAGCACCAATTTTTGTTTCAGCTACTATATCAAACTTGTATAACCAATAGCTGGAGAGATTGCCAAAGGTATACGTCTTTTTTTCCCACCCTGAAATATACAATTCCTAAATGCACTCTTCTGTAAAGATAACAGAACATGAATATAATGTATCACAATATCATGTATCACAATCCCCACATGGGTACAATGTGTGAAGCCCATTTCTGGTGTTCCCCGCCGTGATATTTCTGGAAGATTGCTAAAAGCGGCGTAAAACCATACTCAGTCAGTCAGCCATGTATCACAATAGTTAAACAAAGCTGTCAGTGACAAAAGTTCTGAGAATGCTGCCTCTTTTTACATCTTTAATAACAGTGTCATATAACAGTAATGTGTAACATTTAGAAAATGTAAATGCATTTTCCACCATTTATGGATTAAATCTCAACATTTATTTCCATAACATGCCTTTTTTAACATAAATGCGAAAAAGATGGCAGGTGTAACATTGTAACATTTCTGCTGTCCGAAAGAAAGGTCTACTCAAGTCCTGAGTTATCTGTCTGCCCAAATTCACCCGTCTGTCTCTGCCCTCCTTTCCATGATATGGAATGGATCTGAGTGGGTAAAATGATCTACGATACGATCTATAATTGAGTCTACGATACAAAACAATTTCAAACCACATTTAACTGGCTTCATTGGCATGTACTGGAGTGTGAGAAGAATTCCAATAAGAGCACGTATTTTCATCGCATCGGTGTCTCTCCAGTTTCCTTTCCTAGCTTGGGAAAGTCGGTTCCCTTCAGCATTTGAGTGCTTGACTATCTGGTCGATGACAGTGAGTGAGTGAGTGAGTTAAAATGTAACGTCACATCGGCAATATTTCAGCCATATCGTGACGAGAACAATTAATTTTATGCATAGTAAGCAATGGTAAACTATAAAAACCTGTCAACGAAGGACAGTAAAATAACTAGATTATCACAGATTCGAATTTAAAACTAGTAATTAAATCTAAATCTAAAACTATAGATGACAATACAAGGTAAAAACAGGCTATATATTGCCAACAACTGAAGGTAGATCACCATACTAGGGACCATGGGGACTTACAGTACATTTCCTTCCTGCATTGACCCTAGCTGGATTTACACCATCCCCTCAGCTATTAGCAATGTTAGATAATCTAGCCATAAATTAAACGAACATATATTCTACGATTAAAAAAGTGGAACGTTTTAATTTACTTCGAATGTTTGGGGACTTACGTACCCTCTCAGGAGGACAATAATTTTACAGTACTTTAACCCCCCTCGAGGATACAGCAACTAACAATCTTAGTTACTAATTCAAACTTCCAATCTTAAAATATTTATGTATTTACAAATCATTTAACAAATCTAATTCTATTTAAAATGCAATAATTAAATGAGAACTGATACTATTAAAAAGATCCTTCATAGTTCGTGATTCTGGTCGATGACAGACTCAGAAAGGTAAAGGTTTAAGGCATCCACGTCCTGTGCGACATGGTCACAATCGATGCTTTTCTGCAAAGGACCTAAGAGGATGTTATGTGATTGGGGCCGCGATATTGATGATCAGAACTGTTCCATCTTTACCTTAGTTACATACTGCTCACCGCTTGTGTTGGTAGAAAGAACAGAACACTATCAGAACTGTCACTGCTGTTGCGGACATTTTTTGCAGAGGAAGGTTCGAACTCAGAATGTGATCCACTGTCAGAAGGTACTGCATCAGTACCACCACCATCATCATCGCGAAAATTGCTTCTCAAACTTGCTCGACGATTCATCTTTGACTGGCACTTACTGTACAGATATTTGCTTTTTAAAATCAATGTAATCATTTCAAAATAATTAAATTGAAACTTTTTCACAGCAATCAGTATTGTAATTTCAGGAATACACTGAATACTGAACATTTATATAGAGTAATAAAGTGTTAGCATACCATCAAAGTGGACTCCGTGGCTCCACTTGATCGGATACGGGTTAAAATTCTTTCTAAATTCGAAAATAATTTCAACAATGAAAGTATTCATGTAGTGATATTACCAGAACCGCAAATACAATTTGAAAGGTAAATTATTATGTCTAATAATGATATATCTCAGATTTCATACTTTACTGACCAAGTTTACTATTACCTGAAATCTGAAGGGATACTGTGCAGTGTCTTTCACTGTGAGTGATAATGAGGTTTACCGCTAGCTTCACGCTGTAAGTCTTGAACGCATTAATCAACAACAAAAACATCTGGCAGTTTGGCTGTACCTCTTTATTGAAAATCCCTTGTTATGATAGACAGCTTCTCTTCGATCCTTCGATATAGGTGTCGCATCGCGCAGCGAAGCCAGATTAGCGCTGAACAAAAGTAAAACCTATAGAAATTTTAGTCCATAAAATACAAATGTGTATTTTGTGAAGAAACAAGAGCTCCTTATTTCTATGCTTTCAATGTTGGAGTTTTGTTTCCTTTTACAAAGTGGCTATTGAGTGCGTGAGGTACTACCCCTATCTTTAGGAGGTTTTGTCATCTTTGTAGTCAGGTGGTCGGTCTCTGGGCGGACATTTATTGCTGACATTGAAATGTGTGCAAGTCTCTAGATCCAATTTGCTTCAGCGCGAGTCCAGCTTTCCGTGCTTGAACTTTATTATCCGATACCTATGGGTTTACACATATATTGCGAGGTCTCTCTGCATTTCAACTTTTTATGGCAAGAGTTTGAGAATCGTTATACGTCAGATCATCACCTTGACTCCGTTTCCTTGCAAACTTTCGGATTCGTACATTTTGCCTCTTGAACCGCAAGGAGAGCATCCTTATCACGTCGACTAAAGGATTCCAGTTAGTCCATGGCGTCATCTGTCCAAGGCAGAGGTTCAACGTACACATTAACTCATGATTGTTAATATCCGATGCGCCTGTTTGGATAGTGTTTCTATTTCCTCAAACATACCATCTTTGGAGCTGACCGCAATTTTTTCCTTTTTCTCCCGAAACAAGCAAGAATAATTATACCAAACTTGGCCAAATCCGAGCGTGGTGACATCACATGATACCGAGAGGGAGCTGCTTTCTTTGGGCAAATGCTTATCAAAGTTAACATTAATTTGATCGAAATGACAGAATACGGCGAACAGTGAAGAACATTGTAAAACAAGTACAATGGTGCAAGTAACTTATAGCGAGTACTTGACGGGTTGATAAACGAGTCGGTTTTGGCCTCAATCGATACAAACTTGTTGTCAAGACTGATTATAATAGGAGTAGTTATGGAGACCCGTGTTCAATATTCAACACATGGGTACAGTGTATGATGCCAATTTCTGGGGTCCCCCGTCGTGATATTGATGGAATATTACTAAAAGCTCTCCCAAGAGAACTCTCCAAAACCTAGTGTGAAGGCATAGCATGTAGAAAAATCTCGTTTAGCCTTTAGTGTTTAATGATTTGTTAAACGGGAACTGAAGTGAATCGATGAAAAGGTGAATCTATATTGACTTTCAGTATGTTGGCCCTTGTATATAGATATATAGATTATTTACGTTTTATCGATTTTATGGTACTGGTAAGGGTATCCTATATATGATCATACAGTTATGTGTGAAAACGCCCATTGGTTCAATACCATTTACTTAGAAGTGTGAAATAGAAAACAAACACACCTAAAAGTGCTATGAACTTCACAGTGTCGTAACCCTCGCTGTCTTCCTGTTTTTCATACACAGTTATGTTGTACTGAGTGACACCAGGTCGGGGTTGTGGAGGATCCCATGTCAGAGTTATCTCGCTTGATGAGATGCTCTGTGCTGTGAAGGTAGTAGGGTCACCAGCACCTGAAATGCAGATCTTATATGTGTACATGTACTGTAGGATTCAGCAAGTTAACAATATCTTGAAAACCGTAGTTCCTTCAATATTCTGGCATGCAAAGGAAAATTAACCTCTCATTGGTGTGCTTCCATTGTGAGTTCTTGTTTTGCTGTAATGATCGTCGATGTTGGGCACATTTGTGTACCTTAGAGACAATGTGAGCGTGAAAATATTTGTGAGATGAATAATGATGTCAGCAGGCATCCTGCAGGTCTAGCTATCATTTTGCCCGTTTTAAAAGACGTGGAAACATTAGTTTTTCCAGGATATTTAAAATTAAATCACTGATCGTACACTCATTCTAAGAATACCAAAAGGCCGATCCCTTGGGTTCAACATCATACACAAAAGAAATACCGAGGAAAACTACAATACAAATATTTCCTTAAAGGTCACATGCAACGTAAAACACAACTTTGCAGATTCTGATACCTTTCAGTATGGACTTACCGAAACAAATCGTCAAAAATGCAAATTCAACTTATAAAGTTGAAAAATAACGCGATGAAAAAACCCGCGCGAAATCGGAGTTCAAACGTTTCACTAATTTTTCCCCGACTTTTCGGGGGAAAACTGGTTTCAACAGCTGGGCTGCGCTCATAGCACGTGCGCAGTGAAATAGGTTCGCGCGGCTTGGAAGCGGGTTGTCCGGTGAATATTCGGTGAAGGCTTTGGTGTGAGCTATTTTTCTAATGTTTTGTTGATATCTCACAGGCGCAAGCTTTTTTATATGTTATGACAGTAAATTAACTGTTTACATAATTTCATTTGTCTATTTCACCACACGTTCTTCTTACCGAGTCACTTTCTCAGTTCGATACTTGAAAGCAATGTCATTATTTAGCGTTGACAGAATTTCTAACTGTGATATAGATATGTCGTTGTCACAGGCAAAACTCAATGTCTTGTTTTATTGACACCTGTGTGTCTGCCTGCCTGTCTGCTAATGACAATATTCAATACACAGCTACTATCACTGACCACATGCAATTTGAACTTAACACCAATCAGGCTATACACCATAAACAAAATGCATTGATTTATGGCCCGAGTTCGGTCTCTGTCACATTATGTAACAGACAGGCAGGTGTGATACTTGAACACATGACATGTTATGATGTCTGTTGATTGTAAAATGTTATACACAAAAAAATGAGCATGTATTTACAAAATCCAACATCTCTATATATACACACACAATGAGCCGTGAGGGCATATGCAAATGAACCAGCCGTTACACTTGAGTGCACACCCACCCGCTCTGACTGGGTTCGGTATCCCGGCTGCTTCGTTTCTTGGGAAGTAAACCCAAGTACACAATATTGCACTTTTGATTTGCGATTGTACGCTTATAATTTTGTTCATATGTTTTTTCACAACCAGCAATGTATATTATATGTCATGAATAAGTGATAATTGTGTTTTAATTATGTTTGATTTTTTAGTTGCATGTGACCTTTAAAAGTACCCCTTTACGCGCACGCCACACTTCAATATTTATCTCCATGTTGCATGTTCAATTTAAAAACCCAGCTCGGTTTTTAAATAACATTTAGCGGTCTTAAATCAACGATAAAGGACCGCAAAATTGAAAACAGAGTAGCTTTATTTTCATTTAGCACGACTGATCAGCGTTTTAAAACCGACTCTTTGGCTCGCAAGAACACAAGCCATAAAGGGGTCTTTTTTCCTGGAAAATCGCTTGGAACCGTCCAGTTGAAGGACAGGTCGTGTAATGGACAAAATAAGACATTTTCAACAACATAAATGCTTTATTTCAGGAACCAATATGGTTTTATTTGTAACAAGTAGCATAAACAGATCACTAAAAGTACAGTTTATATACTGTGAACAAGTACAATTATTTGATTTTTTTTTCTCTTGCGAATTAATAATCTCCCCATCTCTATGACAATCGACTCGCTCCCAATTCAAGCAGTGAAGTCAATAAGTTTAGACGCCGTTAATTTTAGTCACGGAAGTAATTATTGGTAACCGCGTTGCTGTTCCTAATTTGGAAAAGCCCTGACCTGATCAAGGCCCGGTTGAATTATGGCGGAATACTGTCGCTTTGCGCTGCTGACGAATATTCCCGCTTCGAAGTTTATTCAATGGGATTAGGCTCAATGAATTCTTCTTAAAGCCATTCGCCTTTTACTTCAAAAACATCAAAGATGCTGCCAAAGTAGGAATCGCCGATGTCCGACATGTTTGTTTACATACAAAAGGGTCAACGAGTTCATTGTATGCCTACGCGATCATGGGGTCGCTTTAATGTATTAGCGGTCCTTAAACTGCCATTTAAATACGGTTTTGATGAGCTCTCAGCCAATCAGAATCGAGTATCAAACAATGTTGTGCTAGAATAGGTAATATTATTACACTATTTGTCTCACCTTCCTCGGGGGTTTCTAGATTAATTTGGTGGGTAGTTCCTGGCCCCTCTTCATTGACAGCTACTATGTCTATGGTGTAGGGTGTATCTGGGTTCAGGCCTGTTATGTTGTGCTGTATGACCTGGGCGGTGTTTTCAATGTCAGTCTGGTTTATCACCACAGTCATGGTTGCGTTACATTCGGTCTCCATCTTTGTCTGTGAAAAGATAATACGAACATAGCTTAGATATCAGAGTTTACCTGAGTCCAGATGTGTTGTCAACGTTGTACTATTTGTGGTATACTGTATATTTGTGTCTATTGCAGAATGGTTTAGATAACATCATTAATAGACATGCACTTGCATTTCACACTTGACTGTTACTTGAGGGGATGTGTGTCAGGAAGCATCACATCTTAACCTTCAGAAAAGGAGGGGGTGCATATTCACACTTGAGACCGTTCTTCAAATATTCGTATTATCTTTAGGCTCAGGTCCTTAGTATATAAACTTTGAATGAACAGACAGTTCTCTATAGCATACTTACAAAGTTTGCCATTTCTCTGATACATTCAGTGCAGTTGATGATGACCCGTTTCACACAGACTGAGGGACCACCCGTCCTCACGTCGACAATGTATTCATAGATCTGCCCGTTCGGGTTGAGTGGTCTGCTCCATTCCACGGCGACAGAGCGGGACGTGTTGTCAAACGACTTCAGATTGGTAACTATTCCGGCAGCTGAAGACATAATCAACTTGCACTTGCTATCTTATAATATTCTAAAATATAAAAGCTGGACTATTTACGATGTAAATATGTTTCAATTTCCAAAGTTGTTATTGGCGTCAATCAACGTAGATCAAAATTTGCTCTCACACGACACAGACCATTGTCCGTATGTTATCATAATGTTTGTTCTTAAAAGAGAGTTTGTGTTTGGCACATAACACACATGAAATCACTAGGGCATTGATATGTACTATGTGCCAAAAGTTTAAAAAGTCATATAAGGTGTACGACGGGTGAATGATTATTAAGTGTTATTTGTATATGATGCTTTTACAACACAGACCATTATACTATATCAGTTTGCCATATAACAAACTATTCGTGTCAGTTATAGTTCAATAACATACGGTTCAACATCTATGTACAGTTCTATTTACATCATTCACAGATTCTAAATGTTGAGGGTTTTACAGTACTTACGAGTTGACACTACTCGTATCACAGTGGTATAGGGTACACTCTGGAGGTTCCCACTCTGTGTTACTATGATCAGGTTGTACGATACAGCTGAGACAACACCAGTGAAGACGACAAAGATGAGATCCTCCCCAGTGTTGACAGGTTGACGTTGTTGGATGTATGTATCTCCATCCCGTCCTCTGAGCGTCACAATGTACCTGTCTGCATCCCCTGCAGCCTTGGGGAACACAATGGTGATGTCTGGAGCTGTCCTGTTGGTTTTGGTCATGTCCAGGCCCGTGACAGAAGCCGGCGCTGAAATGGTGGTACCAATGTGATATCATGGTGTCACTATTATAGAGATAACATTTATCTCATCAGTAGCTTTATGGTAAATAACAGTCGAAAAATGCATGTCCCAAACTGATCAAGATTTATGTGGATCTTGATATAACGATACAATATGTTCTAAGATCAGTCAATCATGCTTTATATCACGCATGAATCACAAACGCTTCAGAACAATCTTTCCGTAACTCTCTACTCTCCACCACAAGTTTAACACCAATTCGCTCACTACGGGTCTATATAATCCATATGTTTACCGATCAGCGCGTAACATCCCGTCCGCCTGTTGGAGACCCCAACATTCACAACAGGTGACAAGTGACAAAACAATTAATTTAAGTAAATTATATTTCCTTGATATGTGCATTCATCATGTGACCGCCATCGGTGCACTCCAATGCAGACAGGATTGTGACGTGACATGCAAGTGACGTTAAATAAAAACGTATTACATGACATTCGTACCAACTGGCTATCAGATGATAATATATTTTGCACGGCTTTAACGAGTAAAGCATTGTTTTCGGTATAGCTGTTTCAGGGCCCCCACATACTCATATTACAGGTCGATGTAGAAATGATTTCAGTAGTCCATGGATGTGATACAAGGTTTAGGTATTTAGTTTTAAAGGAATAGATTTCCATTAAAAATACATAGTCGTGCCGGTTAGACACCAGGTTCATGATACAATTGTATCAACATACATTTTGATTGTCCTGATTTTCGTTATAAAAACAAACTGGCACGTATGCTCATGTTTTGTCATACTTAGACGTAAACATGCTCCCGTTCAAATGCACAAACACAATTATCTGGTCCTCATGATAATATATTCAATCTAAGTACTTAGAACAGGTGGGTGTATTTTTCGCAATGTGTTTTGGCATGGCGTAAAATATGAAAGTAAGCAGTCCTCAGCTTGGGCATATTCCTTATATCAATTAACGAGAGAAGTAATATTTCCAACTTCCATACCGGTACCCGGTCACGGTGTTCGCTGATATATATATTTTTCTCCCTCATAAAGAATAAACCAATGTCTTTATTTCCTCCAGATAAGTCCAAAGATCCTCAAACTCAATTTGTTTGCACTGTTGTTAACAAACACCACTGTTCCGTTTGAGTCATTTATTTTGAGTTCAGCTCCTAAGGGTTTGAAAACTTCATCATTGAGAGAACACACGCTGTAGTATCCATCTGTTATTTTACGTAGAAATCCACCAAAGAACACATTATTATCATTGCTGTTGATGTTTGTCCATCGCGGGAAGTAGGTTATATCACATAGTGCTATTCGAGTTGACCAGACGTGTTATCAATAACGTGCATAAGTTGAACGGCCTCACCGCTCGTTACACCCGGAAGCGTAATGTACATATTTATATATATTTATATATTATATAATAATATGTATAAACCCGAAGTACGTTACCCCAAAAACGACAACATAAAGGCTTATGACTTCACACACATGAAAATAGCGGTTGGCACGGCTGGTTCGTACTTCAAAACCCAGTTTATAGACGTGTTTAAAAATTATAGGTTTTCGATCACTAATGTTAAAACGGTTCACGATTGGTTTCACAACCCTATGCAGTTCTGGCAGAATCAATTCAATTTTGCCGTGTGGTGTGCGACAACTGGATGTGGTTTGACATTGACAGACACTAGGCGTAATGAGCTAAGTAAATCCGTTTTCACTTTTCACGGGTATTACCAGGTAAGACGTATCCTCAAAGAAATCAGCGCCCCGGTCCCACAGGACAAGGCATTGGATGCAGTAAACAATCCGTACGATCGACGTGCGTATGAACGGATTTGTAATGAATTCGAACTAGACCCAAAGACGGATTGGCGTTTGACGGGCCCGAACCATGGGTTGGGTATCCCTATCGTTCACAACATGCCCCTCGTGGAAGCCAGCAAAACGCTAAAAGAATGGGGTGGTAAAACATATGCGAATGCTTACGTCACGAGTAACGAATGGAGAGATGATCTCATGTCTTTCGACGACAGCAAGGATTACCGAGTATGGAGGTTCGAGCAGGGTCCGGATGACTGGAAAATATTTATGCTGGACACGTCGAAGGGTTTGACTCGTGCTGGTGTTATCAGATTGAACGATTCGATTCGAACGTACGTGTGGGCTATTCTAGGGTCTCAATCACAGACGCGTTCTAATATTATAGGTAAGGGAACGGCTTACGATTCTCAAAAACAGTTCGTGGCTAATATTGAGGACGCTATCTCATCACCAGTAGATATCAGGATACGTTGCAATACGCGAGGTCAAAAGTCGACTACGTGTTCGGTGTTGGATTGTACATGGCTCCGAGTGATATGCGTCTGAGAATCAATAAAATAACAGGCTACAACAATGAAATAATCATCGCCACAGCCGACCAAAAATTGGGTGTTAACGCCGACGTTAACGTCTCCCATGTACCACCACTCACGAATACTGGTGAAACTGGTATAGTGGCATCACCCCCAGAGTCTAGGGTTCAGTCCACACCACCACAACCACCACAAGTGCAGGTGTCTAATCAGCAGCACATCAACCCTAAAACAGCGCTGGTGGTTGTTGGGATCGCAGTTGGCTTGGGTTTCATCTGGTTAAAAAATTCCTTAGCGGCCACGTACATCAAACCCGGCAACGGTGACGATGAACGCCCACAGGTTTTGACTGAGCCACGTGACTGTTTTCGAGAGAGTGCTAAGCAACCACGAGACGATGCTACCCAGGATACCTGGCAGGGCTTCAGCGGCTTTACCGGCGAGTTTAGCCAGGGCTTCCCCTAGTGATTTCAGATGTTTTTTTATCCAGTCTCTGACGTCACCACCAGTCGGTGGTTTTGGTGGTGTTGGTGTTCCTCCACCACCAGTCAGCGATACGACCAGGGTCGATATGATGAAGCCAAATGCTGTAAGAACGCTGGCAATGGTGATGCCTTGCTCTCGGAACAATATTCTGATCCTTTCAGCCAACGTGGTATCCTCGTTCAGTACTCGATCGATGGTTTCCCCCCACGCGACTGATCTGAGATCGAAGCTGTTCTCGATTCGAGGAAGCGGATTCCAATCGGGTCTGTCTCTCATCTTGTAAATTACGTAGTTGTTCTGTCATACGACGCTTCATATCATCGTCTTCAGTTTCTGTGAGTTTGGTTTTTTCACTTGCGATGTGCTCGTCGAGTTCGTTCAGTTTACTCATGTTGTTCAGGAGTTCTCCACGTACATGTTTCAAGGCTTCATCTAAGCCGTACAGTTCCCTCATTGGAAATTTAAAACCAGGCAATGGTTTGTCCCAGTACGTGCCCAACAGTTTTTCGATGCTGTCTACGCTTCTGTAGCACGCTGTGTCATGTCACCACCACTACTGAGTTCAGACCTGGTAGCTTGCAGATCTTGAACTACCTTCGGAGAAATCTTAGGTTTTGCACCACCATAATCCTGCATGTTTAGTTTATTACGGATAAATTCGGTACCATGGCGACTGGTTAGCGTTGACAAGGCACGTGGGGTTTTCTAGTGCGCGTGTTCATGATATCAACCTCCGGTTTATCCTTAAGACGTAGAATGCCCTTATCATCTATGGTAAACTTCGAATAGTCTTTGTACTGAGGCTCGAAAGTAGTTTCTATCGTTTTTTAATCCATCGTAATAATCGTCTACTGTTGTTTTAAGTAGTTGGCTGCTCAATGATGAGTTAGTAAACGAAATGTCTTCATCGTAATCAACATCAGCAGAGGCCATAGCTTCAAAATGATCCATCGGAATATCATCCATATTTTTGAAATTATATTATATTAATATAAATATATAACAATGTCATATGGTAGAAAACCAAATCCTTTTCGAAGATTAAGAGAACCACTAGGCGTCAAAGCCGTGCGTCAGTCGGTGACTATTACAAACAACCCCAGCAAGATAGACCAGAACCAAGTACTGTTGGTTAGATTCCCCAACTTGGGGGAGAACAACGTCATAGTACCAGGTACGGTACGATTGGCATTTAACATAATGTTGAAATCAGACAACGACAAACGTGAGCTAGTGAATAATGTGGGCCGTGCTATAGTCAAGAGGACCTCCATAAAAATTAGTGGTAACGAGGTGCTTAGCATAGACGACAGCGATGTATATTACTGTTACACAGACCTATGGAAAAGTGAGGGAGAACGCGCCAACGACGTGTACCAGGGAATCAGTAAATCGACTAGGTTACATATCAGGTACGCCTTCACACAAGACGAGACAGCTAAACTATCGAATAGTGAAAAAGCCATCGCCGAAGCGTATGGAAACAGGTTCTGTATCCCGCTAGACTTTGAATTGCTAACAGGGCACGCACCATTTTACCAAGCCGCATTAGGTGACAGGTTGGAATATGAACTCACGTTTAATGATTACAGCAAAGTCGTGTTTACACCGAACGGTGAAGAGGGTAGTCACGAGATCGATAACATCTCGTTGGAGTTCGACATGGTGACTAGTCCTGATCTCACCCGGCAGATTCGAAATCAGTACTCTGGGAAAATCCTGTACGATAGGATACTGCGACATAGAATGATATTACGTGACAAGAGCGACACGGTATGGAATATCAACATGAACGTGCCGGCGCGATCGATGAAAGGTATATTAATCATACCCGTGGAGGAATACGATCTATTCGAAAGAGACAGTGAGAAATTTTTCAACCCAGGGATCACCAAAGTGGAAGTGACCATAGAGGGAGTGCCTAATCAGCTATTTAGCCATGGAATGAAGGCATATCAGCAGTAGGATGATATAATAAGCTACCGGCTATCAAACGAAACTCAATAGTCAACAACGTAGTCAATGACCTGGATCTATCCTCTGTGCATATCGGGGATTACCTAACCACAAAGTACACGTTATGGTTGGATATGAGATCGACAGATGATGACACTCTACACGGTAGTGGTCGTCGCATCGACAACGGAAGCGAGGGTATAACCA